AGTTAGAAAGTCGAGACAAACACTCGAACGAGTGGAAAGTTCAACAAAAACAAACAGGGCATAATAATCTGTGCGGCGGTCGACCGCAGAGCCCACTCCGGTCTACCGCTCAAAGGTCCGAGAAGTACTGGGCTCAAAAACTGGGCGTCGGTCGACCGCTGGGGTCATGTCGATCGACCGCTAAAAGTGCAGAAGCGATTCTGCTGGCAAAGACTCGCGATGAGTCCGCTGCGGTCGACCGCTGAGTCCGCTGTGGTCGACCGCTGATCGGACAGAACCCTAGTCTGGGTTTCTGTCAGCTTCGAAACTCATTCAAATTTTGAGGTTTTCTATAACCAACTAATTTTAACAATTCAATTGTAATGTATGGCAGTCAAACACAAGTTTTAATAGTTAAAATCTCATTACCAAAAATCAAAAATCTTAATCAACATGATTTAAAAAGTTCTTAAACAGTAAAGAAATAAGTTTAACCTTCATAAAACGTTTCAGATCAAGATCTCATTAATTAAACATCATTAGTGAACTTTTTAAGACTGAAAAATATGATTTTTGCACCTCATGCCATAAGATCTACTTTATCTACACAAAATACGATTTGGGCTCAATAAAAACCGGTTAAAACTCAAATCTAAGCATAAAAAACGAAAAGGGGGTGAAGTTGGGCGAGATGTTACTCGCCTATGATGAGGACGAAGCCCTAGATCTGAAGGAAGATGATCCCTCTTGCTGAATCTACCAAAAATCTGCCGAAAAACCCTTCAAAGCTCCTCCAAATCACCAAAGAGTGAGAAACTAGGGTTTGAGGGGAGAGAGGGGGGCTAGGGTTCTAATTTCAGATGAAAAGGGGTTCTCTTGGGTAAAATAGAATATATACTAAACCCCAAACCCGACCCGAAACCCGTTAAGACCCAAAACCCAGCAAACTCTCTGCCTGCTGGGCGGTCGACCGCCGCGCCCAGTGCCGGCTCGACCGCCGCGCCCAGTGCGCGTCGACACGCCGCCTCCAGTGCGGCGACCGCCGCGCCAGTGGCGGCCGCACCGCACCTCAGTTAGGAAACGCAGTTTCCTGAGTGCCCGAGACGAGGTGCGGTCGACCGCCGCGTCCACTGCGGCTCACCGACTCAGAGAAACTTTGCCCCAGGTTTGAGCTGATCACCACTATGATGCCTCGAACTACTCAATTATCTCACTTCAAACACATCTGATGAAGTTCGCGTACCACTGATAATCACATTCATATGAGTAATAATATATACTCATACTATATATATAATATATTCATACTATATATATATTATATATAATAATATATATATATATATATATTATATATATATATATATAATATATATAATTATACTATATATATATATTCACAAGGAATTATTGATTACTAGAAATTCAATATATTCATTATAAAACTTTCACGGTACTACACTTGGCTGTCTCGGCCGAGTTGATACACTCACAAGTGTCTCGGCCACGCCGAGACACCCACGGGTGTCTGCAGACCCGAAAATCAAATTTGGCTATTTTTTGTGGTTTTTCGACCGTTAACCACCTGGATTTACTCTAACTGATAAAATATCATCTATGAATGTGATTAAGTGGTTATAACTGAGGATAAGAGGGAATCAGCCGTTCTTATCCGAAAACAGGGCTCCCGAAGCCTATAAATACAGCCCCAGGGCCTTTATTTTTAAGATCTGAAATTCTCGAGCGTTGGCAAAACCCTACCAAACTGAAGACTGAAAGAGCACGAATTTCAGAAGAGAGGAGGATATCAGAGCGAGTTCGTCAGCACGAAGAAGAAGAGTTCATCGGATCTGCAGTTCCTATGTTCTTCCCTTGAGATTATCTCGTTGCGGTGATCTCGAGAAGAGTGATTATCTTGCTGTTACCGAGATAATTGTTTCAGCTTCTTGATTCCTTCATGAATCAACAAAGCTCCGGATCTTATCAAGTTGCTTGGTAGTCCACGGATATCAATGTCCCCGTCACCGGCCAAGAACTCACGTAAGCAAGAGCCGATAAATGATTCTTGTGTTTATTTTCAAGAGAGATGTAATTTTTTATTTTTGTTATTTGAATTCATTATAAACAATTAAAGTTGTAATGAAATCGATAATGAAGGAGACTTTCGACGAAAATAAGCTGGCGATCATAGCGGGGGCTAATAGCCTCTCTGCCGAGGCTGTCGTGACGCAATCGGCGATCAAGATCCCGGTGAACGAAGAGATCAAATATAAATTCGACCAGCAGAAGTTTGAAGAGTATCTATCTTCCTCCTCCTCCAAATATGCCTCTCCTCCCAAGCACAGGAAGGCCTCCTCTTCTAGGAAAACCCATTGGACTTCAGGCTCAAAGATCCAAGATCCTCTCGCCTCCACTGCACTTACACCTCGCGACGCCCCTCCAGGGTCCAACGAGGTCCAAGCTGTAGATCTGGACCTCCCCTTCAGCAAAATATTAACTGGTGAAGACGTGCCAACTCTGTCGAAGAGAGCACGCCAAAGACAACGCCAACGCCTTGCGCGTCAACTAACCAAGGCTTTGGAGCTAATGGACGGGATCCACTATGATATGGATCTAAAATCTAGGCAGCACTGAGAACAACAATAGTGAGCAAATAACCCCTCCTCCAAAGCAGAGATGAATGAATGGGTCTGCGTCAAAAGGACCCGCTCTACCCTTGAGGAACGAATCCAAAAGCATCGTACATTACTTGCGTACGTTTGCGTTCTTGTGCGAAAACTGTAAGAAATGCAGAAGAAAGAGGCGATTAAAAAATCATCCAAACATAAACAAGTGTGGAGGCCGAAGGAGAAGTCAGCGCCTAAGGCAAAAGTGGACGAAGTTACCATTCAGCCTTCGTCAACTTCAGATCATGTTTCTCCTATCCCCATACCTCCGACGGAGCTATATGGTATTGTAGATCTCACCAAATTTAGAGTTCTTCCAAAAGATCGTCTTGGTCCTCTCCCTGAAGATCGAGGTAAAGCACCTGTTAAGGAGCGTTTGGGACCGTTGAAGCGCTCCCAAACGACCATTCAGACTGAGGGTCGTACTAATCCCCCCAATAATAACAAAGGGAAAACCCCTATTACCGACTGCATCGGATTGCGAGTCGAAGTTTAAGAGTCCGTTAGAGTTTCACGCTCATGAAGGCGTAAATCTGAACGAGTGACTCTAAAGCCTTAGCGTGTTGGTGCACGAGTCATTGACGTTGCCTTTGACGTGCCCTCTTCGATAGGATTGACGCGCCTTCAGTATTCAACTCCTTGATTGAAGAGGAGTCCAGATCTGTAGGTCCAGCCTCATTGGAGGCCAGAGGGGTATTGCACGGTGCAGCTACCACAATAACGGGGGCGTTGATCTTCCTGTGCTTGCAAGTGGAGGAGGATCTGGAGGAGGAGGATGACAGATACTCCTCGAACTTCTGTTGGTCGAACTCGTACTCGACCTCTTCTTCAACCGGGATCCGGATCCGAGGTTGCGACATGACAGCCTCTACAGAGAAGATGTTGGCTCCCACTGTGATCGCCAGCGTGTTTGGGTCAGAAATTATTTTCTTTATTGTATAACTCATTACAACTTTAATCATTACAAAAAGTTTAAAAAGATTTATCTTTTTATAAGACTTTTACAGAATAAAAATAAAAATTACAATCTTCTTAAAACAACACACAGATCCTATTTATTAGTCTCTATTTGTGTGGGATCTTTGCTTATGCTGGGGTTTATCTGTGGACTACCTCGGATCGGATCCGGTTAACAGAATGATTAATCAGAGCTCCTACTTCACCAAGAAAGTATTCGCTAAAGTACTGATATCGACCAAGCGAAATCAGTATTCTTCTTGAGATTAAGACCAACCCTAATCTCAAGGAATGGAGGACGGGGCTTCAGATCTCTCAAACTCTCCCTCTTTATGCTGAAGAACTTTGCCGAGATCAGCTAGCCTCCTCTGAAATTCGTGCTCCCTTGCTCTCCAACTCAGCAGCACCTCCTTGTCTCGATAATAATTCGCCCCTTCTGAAAGGAGGCCCTAGGCTTGTATTTATATGGTCCCAGATGCGGTTATTTGGATGAGAATGAGAGATTTGGCCTTATCTTCAATCAATAATGGCCCACTAACGTTTAGATATGATATCTAAGCAGTTAGAGAGGTTTTGGAACTGAAAAAACTGATCGAAATAGCCTAAAACGTGTTCTTGGATGTTATGGGCAGTTCTGGGTGCGGGACAGACCACGGTGACCCGCTCGGCTGC